GCTGGCCGCGACGCTTACTGCCTAGCTGACGGGACGGGCCTGCCCGGAAAAGGGAGGGAGCTGAGGCGCGAGCTGGGGGCCGCGGCGGGGACGCGCGCAAACGCTTTCCTGTGGGGATTGCACGCACGCGCACCAGCGGGGCGGGAAACGTGGCCGCTGCGTGGAGACTCCGCCCCTGCACGGAGCGGTAGCCTCGCTCAGCCAATCGCAATCGGCGGATACCTCTCGGTGAGGACGTTGTGGACGGTTCTTGGGCCGCCCGAGGCTGGCGGAAGGACGGCCACGGTGGCGCCTGCGCGCCCGGCTAGCCGAGTTGCCGCCCGCCATTTTCGGAGCTTCTCCGAGACCTGGGGGGGAGACCCGCCCCCGGCCCCTTCACTGAGGCCCCTCCTCAGGTCTCGAGACTGGTGTTTCTTTGCGGGTCCGCCTCACTTGTGCTGTTCCCACCCCACGTCCGGGACACGCTTTGCGGAAACGGGAAGGGAGTAAAAGAGCCAAACCCTTCTCCCGCCTCTCCTGCTTTTTAAAGAGGGTCTCTGAGCTTAGCATTGTGTTAGCTACTTATTGTTGACTGTTGGCAAGGCGCTTTCGCGAGTGAGGGTGAAAAGGTTTCGAGAACTGTTTCGGCCCTCCCATGCCGATTTAGACGCTACAGTGCCTGCCCCAGGCCGATTGGCGTCGTCCCTGCCTCTGTAAAGCAGATTCACTCCTTAGTGCCGGCTTTGCATAAGGCGGCAGCATTGGCTAGTTAGTGAAAAAGGAATGTAGCTAGACTGGGAAAATACAGCCTCAGCTTTGGAATGCGATTTCTCTTCCCACAGCAGAGGACTACTTTCAGTGGCTCTGAAATGGACGTGAGAATTGACTAACGTGAGATCGTGACCAAAATATGCCCTTGAACGTCGCCTCTTCCTACCCGCCTTTCCGTGGCTGTGGCTCCTACCTTTAACCTGCTCACAACTTTTTAATACACAAGTGAATCCTTAATCTCCCAAGTCATCAGCCCCACTTGTGACTAAATTCTCTGTTGCTAGAGCCAGCGCTTTTAATATTGCCTTAGAATCGCTCGATTCCTTTACAGTCCTTAGCCCATCTCCAGTAAATTACCCGTTTCTGTTTTCTTTCCCAAAAGGTCACAAAGTGTGTGGCTGTTTCACTGGAGGAAGTTGCAACCCGTCTAAACACACACACACACACATCTCTGGTTGGTTTCTTTTATATTCTTTGCAAAGGCTATTTCCAGCTTTCCTTATTATTGCCGGTCGCAATCCATACTAATAGATAACTTCATTTAGTTTCCAGGGATCAAATCTATGGGACTACAAATTCTCCAATTTGATAGTCTCTCCATCTTGAAGTATCTGTAGTCACATTCTGTTCATGATCTGAAGAATTTTCACCAAATCAACCTGTTCTTCCCTTTCCAAAGCCAGTCCTCTTTGGACTATGTATGCTATCCCTTCCACTTCCTTACACCACTACTTTTGTAAGGTCTTGTATCTTCAATGCCTTATGCACCAGCTTCTTCCTTTCTGCTTTTCAGCACACAGTTTCCATGGTCTTTTTTAAAATTTCAGTGCTACTATTCTCTCCAGTTACTGTATCATCAACCTTCCTTTCACAGTCACATTTCTGAAAAGCAGCCACCGCCTTCATTTACCCTTTATTCCTTACCTTGTATTAATCAGACTTCATAACAGCAAAATGAAATTACACTTTAAGATCAACAGGGTTCTACTTTTCTCTTTTTCGCCGCCATCCCTGCGTGGCTGGTTGCTTCTCGCCATGTCTTCTCACAAGACTTTCAGAATCAAGCGATTCCTGGCCAAGAAACAAGCAGAATCGTCACATTCCCCAGTGGATTCGGATGAAAACTGGTAATAAGATCAGGTACAACTCCAAGAGGAGGCACTGGAGAAGAACCAAGCTGTGTCTATAAGGCGTCACACATCATGAGATGACACACTTAATTGGCACACATATTTAATTAAGCTTAGAATCGCTCGATTCCTTTACAGTCCTCAGCCCATCTCCAGTAAATTACCCGTTTCTGCTTTCTTTCCCAAAAGGTCACAAAGTGTGTGGCTGTTTCACTGGAGGAAGTCACAACCCATCTAAACACACACACACACATCTCTGGTTGGTTTCTTTTATATTCTTTGCAAAGACTATTTCCAGCTTTCCTTGTTATTATGGCCGGTCTCAATCCATACTAATAGATAACTTCATTTAGTTTCCAGGGATCAAATCTATGGGACTACAAATTCTCCAATTTGATAGTCTCTCCATCTTGAAGTATCTGTAGTCACATTCTGTTCATGATCTGAAAAATTCTCACCAAATCAACCTGTTCTCCCCTTTCTATCATGTGTTCTATCATTCTGTAAACATCCTTCCTACCTGGCCATAGACTTGTCTTATCATGGAAATGATTTTTCTCTGTGACTATGCCTCTGCACCAGTAGGTTGGTTCAGTAATAAATGTGAGACCTTTCGGCTCTACTGCTGTTGTGTTTCTGATTGTGAAGTATTGAATTCCCCCACCTGTCAGATCATGCATAGCATGGTCAGAACTTTCTGCAGTGATAGAAATGGCCCTTGACAACCAAGTATGTAAAGTGTGGCTAGGGGGCGCCTGGGTGGCTCAGTGCCTTAGGCCCAGGTCGTGATCTCAGGATCCTGGGATTGGGCTCCCTGCTGTGCAGGGTATCTGCTTGCTCCTCCTCTGGCTCGTGCTCTCTCTTTCTCAAATAAATAAAATCTAAAAAAAAAAAAAAAAAATCAACAGAGTTCTAATTTCCAACCATTTTCTCATTCCTTATTTTCTTGACATACCCAATCCCTAGCCCCTCCTTAAAATCCTATTTCCCTTTATTTTAAGACAATTCCTGGTATCTACAACCTACCTGGTTTACTGGTCTTATTCCTTTGCTAGCTCCTCCTCCTTTCTTCCATCCCATGGTTCAACTCCTAACTCTCTGTCCTCTACTACATTCTTTCACTTCAAAAGTCTCCCAAAATTAGTTTCTGATTTTTCCTCAACTAAGATTCCTCATGTTCAGCTTACTTGCCAGAAAGCTCCAGCTCAAAATGTAAACACTTAAAATAATGCTTTTTTTTAATTCAAATTTCCTAATTTCTCTTAATAACATTGTAATCTCAGTGTAATAATTAAGAACAAGGACTTTGGAACTGTACTGCTCTAGAAAGCTGTGTGACCTTGGACAAATCTCTTTGTGCTTCAGTTTCCTCAGTTGTTGGAAAAAACAATAGTACCTATCTCATAGAGTGGCTATGAGTACTAAACAAATTAACAATTATATAGAAATGTCATTGGTATTATTGTCATGTTGTTTTTATCTTGCTAAGAACTTTTTAGCAATTTTTAAAAATATCCAAGGGCATCAGTAGTCAACTTTCTGAGTTTAGAGAAATCTAAAATTTTCTTTATTTTGCCCTCTCACTCAGTAGTTGAGCTGGTGTTTATAAATAATTACCTAGTCTCCTAGGTTCTAAATTGTAGGGCTAGACTTGACCCTTTTCCTTCAAAATAGCCCAACTCCCATGATATCCTCATTCAGATTTCTTGCTTTTTCTCCCAGTGCTTTAATCTCATTCAAGGCTGTTCCTACCCCCCCAACTCCCATTATCTTATACCACAACAAGTAAAATAGCCTTCTAAAAAGTCTTTGTCTTTCATTCACCACCCTTTTAAAAATGCACAAAAGCTTTCTGTGATTCCTATGGTTTACAAAATATAATCAGAAATACTTAATGGTATGAAAGAAATGACTTGATCTTTTTCCGATTTCTGTCTCTTTCTTCACAAATTCTTCATATTAGTTGATTTAGTCTGAAAAATCATAAATGCAAGCAAACAATAGGTACATTTAAAGTTTAGCTATTTGGTAAAATAAAGTAATGGTTATCATAATGTGTTGACTTTGTTACGGAATCACACATCTCCCGGGAGCCTCTGCTTTTGTGAAATTCTTAATCAAGATTCCAAAATTCTTGGCAAAGATTTTCAAATACCACAATTTTCATGAACAGCTTCAAGCTATATGTATGAACAAAATATCAAAAGGGATATCTGAAACTAGTGTGAATAGCAGCTAAAGATTTTTAAATATTATTTAGGGTAGGAGTGCCTGGGTGGCTCAGTCAGTTAAGCTTCTGACTCTTGATCTCAGCTCAGGTCTTGTGAATTCAAGCCCCATGTTGGCTCCACACTGGGCATGGAGCCTACTTTAAAAAAACTTTTTAAAAATTATTTAGGGTTGGGAATAAAGTATTGGTAGAGCGACCATTTGCTTAGTCCATATTTCTTGGTGACCTTGGAATTCTACCTCATTGCTCATTTCAAATGATCTGAAATGAGCCTTGGCCCACTTTGAAGTTTCATCCTTGGTAGGTTAGATGTCTTAAAAGGAAGACACATACCCATTAGTTTTATTTCAACTCAACTCTTAGCCAACCTGGTACAAAAGTAGATTCTTAATATTATATATTTAAAAATTGCATTTATAAAATTACACATCAATGTATTGTAAGTGTAATATAAATGCATTGCAGAATAAATGGTTAACATTTATTAACGAGTATCATGAAGAATTTTGCCTTTTAATACAAAGAGCTAGTTGGTGACTATTTATTTATTTATTAAAGATTTATATATTTATTTAAGTAATCTCTACACCAAATGTGGGCTCAAACTCATGACCCCAAGATCAAGAGTCACATGCTCTACTGACAGCCAGCCAGGCACCCCCAGTTTGTGACTATTTAGATGGCAGAGTAACTTTAAAATTTGTCTTTTTCCACTTTGGATAATTTTAGCATGAAGATTTCAAAATTTTTCTATTGACCTGAGTTCTGCTTAAAGTGAAAGATGTTCAGCCAACTTGTTTTCATGATGATAATGATGGTATTGCTTTCATGAAAGTCTTTTTTTATTTTAATGACTTTATGGTTTTAGAGCAGTTTTAGGCACAATAAAGGAAGGTATGGAAGGAGGAAAGAATGGAGATTTCCCCTATACCCCCTGCCCACACATGCATGGCCTCCTTCCCTATTATCAACATTACTCACCAGAATGATACATTTGTTACCAAAGATGAACCTATACTGACACATCATAATCACCCAATGTATGTAGTTTACCTTAGGGTTCACTCTTGGTGGTGTATATTCTGTGGGTTTGGACAAATGTATAATGATATACATCCATCATTATAATAACATCCTAGTATTTTCATTGCCCAAAAAATCTGTGCTCTGTATATTCATCCTTCCTTCTCCCTAACCTCTGGCAACCACTGATCTTATTGTCTCCATAGTTTTGTCTTTTCCAGAATGTCATGTAATTGTAATCATGCAGTATGTAGCCTTTCAGATTGGCTTCTTTCACTCAATAATATGCTTTAAGCTTCCTCCATGTCTTTTCATGGCTTGATTGTTCATGGTTTTTTTTTTAGTGCTGAGTAATAATCCATTGTCCAGATGTATCACAATTTATTTATCCATTCAACTACTGAGAGATATCTTGGTTGCTTCCAAGTTTTGCAAATTATGCATAAAGTTGCTGTCAGCATTCTTATGTAGGTTTTTTTGTGAACATAAGTTTTCAACTAACTTGGATAAATACCAAGGAGCGTGGTTGCTGGATCATATGGTAAGAGTATATTTAGTTTTGTAAGAAACTGCCAAATTGTCTTCCAAAGTGGCTGAACCATTTTGCATTCTAACAAGCAATGTACGAGGGTTCCTGTTGCTCCACATCCTTATCAACATTTGGTATTGTCAGTGTTCCAGATTTTGGCCATTCTACTAGGTATGTAGTGGTATTGTTGTTTCAGTTTGAATTTCCCTGGTGACATAGGATGTAGAGCATCTTTTCATATGCTTGTTTGCCACTATATATTTTCTTTGGTGAGATATCTGTTGAGGTCTTTGGCCCATTTTTTATTTGGGTTGTTTGTTTATTTACCGTTGCATTTTAAGAATTCTTTGTATATTTTGGATAATAGTCCTTTATCAGATGTGTCTTTTGCAAGTATTTTCTCCCAGTCTGTGGCTTGTCTTCTAATTCTTTTGACATTGTCGTTTGCAAAGCAGAAGTTTTTAATCTTAATGAAGTCCAGCTTATCAATGATTTCTTTCTTGGATTATATCTTTGGTGTTGTATCTAAAAAGACATCGCTATACCCAAGATCACCTAGGTTTTCTCCTCTGTTAACATCTAGGAGTTTTGCATTTCACATTTAGGTCTGTGATTCTGTGATGTGTGTTGGGTTAATTATTTGTGAAAGATGTAAGATCTATGTCTAGATTTTTTTTTTTTTTTTGCCTGTGGATGTCCAGCTGTTCCAGAACCACTTATTGAAAAGACTATTTCTTCTTCTATTTTACTACCTTTGCTCCTTTGTCAAAGACCAGTTGACTATATTTATGGGAGTTTATTTCTGGACTCCCTATTCCATTGACCTGTCTATTCTTTTGCCAATATCATACTGTCTTGATTACTGTAGCTTAATGGTAAGTCTTGAAGTCAGGTAGCATCAGTCTTCCAACTTTGTTTTTCTCCTTTAATACTGTGCTGGCTATTCAGGGTCTTTTGTTTCTCCATATAAACTTTAGAATCAGTTTGCTGATATCCATAAAATAACTTGCTCGGATTTTTATTTGAATTGCACTGAATCTATAGATCGAGTTGGGAAGAACTGACATCTTGATGATATTGTATTTTCCTATCCATGAACATGGACTATCTCTCCATTTATGTGGTTCTTCTCTGATTGCTTTCATCAGAGTTTTATAGTTTTTCTCATATAGATTTTTTTAAAGATTTTATCTATTTATTTGAGAGAGACTGAGAGAGAGAACACAAGCAGGGTGAGGGGCAGAGGGAGAAGTAGGCTCCCCACTGATAAGGGAGCCCAATGTGGGGCTCGATCCCAGGAATCCAGGATCATAACCTAAGCTGAAGGCAGACACTTAACTGACTGAGCCACCCAGGCGCCCCCTTATATAGATCTTATAAGAAAGATTTTTCAAAGTAACGTTTTATTCATGGTTCTTCCCGTCTCCAACCCTTTTACAGAGTTCTAGGTGCAGCTATTAGATATTTAGATCAAAGAGAGGTCTCCTGATTATGGTTTCTCACTCTTCACTTTCACTACTTTTACAAACCACATGAATATTTGTAACGTAGTATTTTAGGGATCATGATCACTGCCTCATTTTACTCTCCCAAAATTAAGTATTCTTCCTTCATATTTTCACTTGGCTACAGGACATTTGCTATTACTTGTATTGCTAGACCTTTGCAAAAATCAGAAATGGTTTTCCTTTCTTTCCTACTCTTGCAATTAAGATGTGCTACCAACTGGTGGTAATAATATGTCAGGCCTAACTATCAGATTAACCTGTGGTTTTCCCATGCCTTTTTTTTTTTTTTAAGTAGACCCCACACACAGCATTGAGACCAACACAGGGCTTAAACTAACAACCCTGAGATCAAGACCTGAGCTGAGATCAAGAGTCGGACACTAAACCAACTGAGCCACCCAGGCACCCCTTCCGTTACTTTTTTAGTACTAAAAACACAATTCCTTCTAAACATGAGCACTCAATTACCAACGCTGGTAATAAGAGGGACCAGAATAGGGGCTCCTGGGTGGCTCATTAAGCATCTGCCTTTGGCTCAGGTCATGGTCCCGGTGTCCTGGGACTGAGCCCTGCATCAGGCTCCCTGCTCAGCAGGAGGCCTGCTTCTCCCTCTCCCACTTCCCCTACTTGTGTTCCCTCTCTTGCTGTGTATTTCTCTTTGTCAAATAAATGAATAAAATCTTTAAAATAAATAAGTAAATAAAATTTAAAAAAGAGGGACCAGAATACCTCCCCTTTCATAATCAATAACCTGGTTGCAGGCAAAACCCTATCCCCCCAAAATGGAGGATAAGAACTACTCAGACACTTAAAAAAGAAATCTCATAAGCAGAGGCCTAAAGCTAATGTGGATAGGAGCTAAGGATTCTTATATAATCCTTAAGGTAGAGAATAAAATATCAGTAGAACAACCAATTTCTTACTCCAAGTTTCTTGGTGTACTTGGAATTTCCAAATCATTGCTTGTATTAAAAGATCTGGAATGAAGCCTGACCCACTTTAGGGAGTCATTCCTCAATAAGATAGCTACAAAAAAACTACTGTTTCTATATAAACAGAAAAAAACATCTATTTTTTTTCCCAAAGAAATGCACACATGGCCATAAATAAAAGGCAACAAATTAAATTGTAACAGAACATAGCACAAAAGAATTTATGATGAAAAGCAACAAATATTATAACCCTTTCTACTTCTAGGATCAATCCCCAGAGCCAACCTCTTTTACATGTTTTTGTTTGTTTGTGATTACTTAAGTATTTCTAAATAAGCTCATATCAACTTTATACAATATCTAGTGACTCCTAGCTATAAAAGGTAAGGATTATGCTAACATCCACTTCAAAGTTTAACAGTTACATTCATTTTAGCTTTTTTGTTGGTTATCTTTGAAACTTTTTTTTTAAAGATTTTATTTATTTATTTGAGAGAGAGAGAGAATGAGAGATAGAAAGCACGAGAAGGAAGAGGGTCAGAGGGAGAAGCAGACTCCCTGCTGAGCAGGGAGCCCGATGCGGGACTCGATCCCAGGACTCCAGGATCATGACCTGAGCCGAAGGCAGTCGCTTAACCAACTGAGCCACCCAGGCGCCCTATCTTTGAAACTTTTAATAATATACTGTGAAACTCTAGATAATATTTCAACCATCGATAGAAAGTATTTCAACTCTCCAATTTTACTACCGCCGTTCTTCCTTCTCACCTTCCACTCACCTCCCTTAAACACAGTCAATAAGTCTTTTCTAGTCTGTCCTCTGGGTAACTCAAAGTCAACAGCCAACTTCCAGGCTAAGAAGAGTGCCAAGATTACATTTTCTTTTCCACAAACTTCTGTCAGAACCACTAGAAGTCACTCAAAGGAAAATGTGAAGAACATGAAGATCAAATGGATTCTCTTCCCTTACTATCAATTGCCCAAATATTTATGCTTCATATTTGGGCCATAAACTACTTATATGGCTTTGTTTTTCCTAGAGTTTCAAAATGTCTCCCCCCCCCACTGTGTATTTTACCTAATTTATCATATCAAGTTTTTTCATCTTCTCTACTCTTTTACAGAGATTCTCTTTCTTTTGCCAGCTGGTAACTGGGGGGCATTATATATACAGTGAAAACATATTCAAATCACTTCCTACAATCTTTCAGTGCATGTTTTTTATAACCAAGTTATTTCTAAAAAAGAACTTTTTAATAGAAATATTATAGGCATGCAACAAATTAAAAAAGTAAAAGTTATTTGCCTTTCCTTTTCCCTTGACATCTTATTTCTCCTTTCCAGAAGCAGCCACAGTTATCCATTTCCAGAAGCTTTTGGATGTTCTCTTTAATCTGAGTAATATGGCATTTCTAGGGATAAAAATTTAATAGCAAGCTATCAGGGTCAGAATTGCATATTTTTCTTTCTGATTCAATGTAAGTAATCAGTGACTGCAAATATCTTGTCAATGACACTTACGGAGACATTTATTGAGCTCACCCAGTCATAGGCCAGGTGAGCACGGAGTGCAGCTGGAGACCGTGGATAAGGGAGTGATTGACTGCTTTTCTCTGGGGGCTCATTGAGGAGTGGAGCCCCAAGTTCTTGGCTCCTCTGGGGCGGAGATTGGGAGGCCACCATTTTCACACTCGTCCTCCAAAGCTGTATGGAAAGCTTGCAGGGAACAAAAGCTCCCAAGAGCAAACCCAAGCAGATTATTTATCCCAGCCCCTGGAAAGGGCGGGGCAATTCCACCTGGAGCAAAGACATTTGAGAACCATGGCAACAGGTCCCTCCCTCACAAGACCAGCAAGAACAGCAAGCCAAGACGAAGTTTACCGATCAATGAGAACGACAGAACTCCAGCACTAGGGGAATACAGCACATAGATTTCATGGCTTTTTTCCCCATGATTCTTTAGTCTTTCAAAGTTAATTTTTTTAATATTCTTTTTTTAAATTATTTAATTATTTAATTATTCTTTTTCCCTTTTTCAACCAACATCTTATCAATCCCTTTTTTAAAAAGCTTTTTTATTTTTCATTTTTAGGATCATATTCTATCCCTTCATTTTAGTTAACCTTATTTTAGGTATATATATATATATATATATATATACACACACACACACGTTGTTCTCCCTTTAAAAGTTTGGGATACAGTTTTTTCTAACGGACTAAAATATACCCTAAATCTCTAGTGTATGGCTTCGTTCTAGTCTCCTGCCTGATCACATTCTCTCACTTTTTTTTTTTAAATTTCTCTTCTTTCTTTTTTTCAACCAACTTCTTATCAATTCCTTTTATAAAATCTTTTATAATTTTCTACTTTACAGTCACATTCCATCCCTTCATCATTTTTACCCTTATTATTGTACATATACAAGTTTCTCTTTCTTTAAAATTTTGAGAGGCCGTGTCTTCTAACAGACAAAAATACGCCCATAATCTAGTGTGTGGCAATGATTTATTCACCAGTCTGATCATATATGATCATATTCTTCTTTTTTTTCTTTCTCTGCCTTTCTTTTCCCCACGGTTTCAGGTCTCCTCAGATTTGTTTAGTGTATATTTTTCTGGAGTCGTTGTTACCCTGTTAGCATTTTGTTCTCTCATTCATCTATTCTCCTCTGGACAAAATGATGAGATGGAAAAACTCACCTCAAAAAAAAGAACAAGAGGCAGTACCAACTGCCAGGGACCTAATCAATACGGACATTAGTAAGATGTTGGAACTAGATTTCAGAATGACGATTATAAAGATACTAGCTGGGCTTGAAAAAAGCATGGGAGATACCAGAGAATCCTTTTCTGGAGAATTAAAAGAACTAAAATCTAACCAAGTTGAAATCAAAAAGGCTATTAATGAGATGCGATAATAAATGGAGGCTCTAACTGCTAGGATAAATGAGACAGAAGAGAGAATTAGTGATATAGAAGACAAAATGATGGAAAATAAGCCGAGAAAAAGAGATAAACAACTACTGTATCATGAGGGCAGAATTCAAGAGATAAGTGACACCATAAGATGAAACAATATTAGAATAATTGGGATCCCAGAAGAAGAAGAAAGAGAGAGGGGGCAGAAGGTATACTGGAGCAAATTATAGCAGAGAACTTCCCTAATCTGGGGAAGGAAACAGGCATCAAAATCCAGGAGACACAGAGAACCCCCCTCAAAATCAATAAAAATAGGTCAAGTCCCCGACATCTAATAGTAAAACTTACAAGTCTCAGAGAAAAAGAGAAAATCCTGAAAGCAGCTCGGGACAAGAGTTCTGTAACCTACAATGGTAGAAATATTAGACTGGCAGCAGACCTATCCACAGAGACCTGGCAGGCCAGAAAGGACAGGCATGATATATTCAGAGCATTAATGAGAAAAATATGCAGCCAAGAATACTATATCCAGCTAGGCTGTCATTGAAAATAGAAGGAGAGATAAAAACCTCCCAGAACAAACAAAAACTAAAAGAATTTGCAAACACAAAACCAGCCCTACAAGAAATATTGAAAAGGGTCCTCTAGGGGCGCCTGTTTGGCTCAGTTGGTTAAGCGACTGCCTTTGGCTCAGGTCACAATCCTGGAGTCCTGGGATCGAGTCCTGCATTGGACTCCCTGTTCAGCAGGGAGTCTGACTTCTCCCTCTGACTCTCCCCCCTCTCATACTCTCTCTATCTCATTCTCTGTCTCAAATAAATAAATAAAATCTTAAAAAAAAAAAGAAAAAAGAAAAGAAAAGGGTCCTCTAAGCAAAGAGAGAGCCTAAAAGTAACATACACCAGAAAGGAACAGAGACAATATACAGTAACAATCCCTTACAGGCAATACAATGGCACTAAATTCATATCTTTCAATAGTTACCCCAAATGTAAATGGGCTAAGTGCCCCAATCAAAAGACACAGGCTATCAGATTGGATAAAAACCAAGACCCATCGATATGCTGTCTGTAAGAGACCCATTTTAGACACAAAGACACCTCCAGATTGAAAGTGGGGGGGTGGAAAATGATTTACCACACCAATAAACATCAAAAAAAAGCTGGGGTGGCAATCCTTGTATCAGACAAATTAGATTTTAAACCAAGGACTATAATAAGAGATGAGGAAGGACACTACATCATACTTAAAGGGTCTATCCAACAAGAAGATCTAACAATTGTAAATATCTATGCCCCTAACATGGGAGCAGCCGATTATATAAGCCAATTAATAACAAAAGCAAAGAAACACATCGACAACAATACAATAATAGTAGGGGACTTTAACACCCCACTCACTGCAATGGACAGATCATCCAGGCAAAAGATCAACAAGGAAATAAAGACTTTAAATGACACACTGGACCAAATGGACTTCACAGGCGTAGCCAGAACATTCCAACCCAAAGCAACGGAATACACATTCTTCTCTAGTGCCCATGGAACATTCTCCAGAATTGATCACATCCTAGGTCACAAATCAGGTCTCAACTGGTACCAAAAGATTGGGATCATTCCCTGCATATTTTTGGACCACAATGCTTTGAAACTAGAACTCAATCACAAGAGGAAAGTCGGAAAGAACTCAAATACATGGAGACTAAAGAGCATCCTACTAAAGAATAAATGGGTCAACTAGGAAATTAAAGAAGAATTAAAAAAATTCATGGAAACCAATGAAAATGAAAACACAACTGTTCAAAATCTTTGGGATGCAGCAAAGGCAGTCCTGAGAGGAAAGTATATAGCAATACAAGCCTTTCTCAAGAAACAAGAAAGGTCTCAAATACACAACCTAACCCTACACCTAAAGGAGCTGGAGAAAGAACAGCAAATAAAGCCTAAACCCAGCAGCAGAAGAGAAATAATAAAGATCAGAGCAGAAATCAATGAACTAGAAACCAAAAGAACAGTAGAACAGATCAACGAAACTAGGAGCTGGTTCTTTGAAAGAATTAACAAGATTGATAAACCCTGGCCAGACTTATCAAAAAGAAAAGAGAAATGACCCAAATCAACAAAATCATGAATGAAAGAGGAGAGATCACAACCAACACCAAAGAAATACAAACAATTATAAGAACATATTGTGAGCAACTATAAGTCAGCAAATTAGATAATCTGGAAGAAATGGATGCATTCCTAGAGATGTATGAACTACCAAAACTGAACCAGGAAGAAATAGAAAACCAGAACAGTCCCATAACCACAAAGGAAATTGAAGCAGTCATCAAAAATCTCCCAACAAACAAAAGCCCAGGGCCAGATGGCTTCCCAGGGGAATTCTATCAGACATTTAAAGAATTAATACCTAATCTTCTGAAACTGTTCCAAAAAATAGAAATGGAGGGAAAACTTCCAAACTCATTTTATGAGGCCAGCAACACCTTGATCCCAAAATCAGACAAAGACCCCATCAAAAAGGAGAATTACAGACCAATGTCCCTGATGAACGTGGATGCAAAAATTCTCACCAAATGCTAGCTAATAGGATTCAACAGTACATTAAAAGGATTATTCACCACGACCAAGTGGGATTTATTCCTGGGCTGCAAGTTTGGTTCAACAT